TGAAATATTTTCTTTCTTTTTTGTTCAAGTTTACTTATCATTTCAATGAATTTTTATTCATGGTTTGGTTGTTAACCAAGCGCATGTACCACAAAAGGTTGGCATACTAGTTTATTTATTGCTAGGAGAGATCTCTTCTTTATTAAGAAAATCGCCCTTAATAATAAGTAAATTAATTTACTTCCGTCCTGACGCAGGATTTTTTCTCCTTCAAGCACACTTTGAATAAGGTTCATTGAAGCAATCATCAGAAAAGTTCAAAACAGTAATTTCAAATTATTTGTATATGTTGTTTTACGAACTAGAAATCGACTACACAATTACAATAAAAACAGGCGATCGTGAAAATTCAACTACCAATGGACCTGTTTATATAAATATTTTTGGTCGTGACAATCAATCAACTGGATATATACTTCTAACGAATTCTCCTAATGATAAATCATTTCAACAAGGTTCTATAGAAACATTACAAATTAAAGCTATTGATATTGGTAAACCTCGAAGTATAATTATTAGACACGAAGATGATATCAATGGATGGTTTCTTGATTATGTGGAAATATCAGTGAATAAGTTTTTAATCAGGTGTTTTTTATTCTTTTCATATTTGATTCATTTTAAATCCAAGTTTCTCTTTTTCTAGATTTATTGCTAATCGATGGTTGAATACAAAAAAAAATGATCAACAATTATTTGTGGAACTTTTTGGATCTGAACCGCCAGGTTGTAATTACACTATTACAATAAATAATCTAATCTCGTTGATGAAATTTGGTTTTCTTATAGCTGCCGCATATACTCTAGAAGTACAGACGGGCAATGAACAGATCGAGCCTTTAGATTCACCAGTCTACGTACAATTTTACGGTGCAACAACAAAAACGCCAAAGCTATTCTTAGAACCCAAAACTGCTTGCTTTGCTAGAGATTCATGTGAAAATTTTGACATTTCAACTAATAATATTGGAGAGGTAAAAGAAAGCAGTTTGAAATTTGATTTGATGTGTGTTGTTTGTTTAGATTCGAAAAATTGTAATCGGACATGAAGGTAATGGTGCAGTTAGTGATTGGCATTTAAAGAATGTTAAAATACAAACAACTGATGAACAGCTTAAGTTCGTTTGAATATTTTTCTTTTCCTTTCAACAAATACAATGATCTTTGTTGATATTCTCTTTCAGATTTGATGTTAATAAATGGTTAAGTCGAACAAAATATGATCAAAAATTATCTATTGAATTAAATCGTAACGAACGTCGACCACCATCACCTACGAGTACTTGAAAAAATTAAAATATTCATTAAACAAAATGATTATTATTTAGCTGTAACGTATTTGGTGAAGATTCATACAGTAGATACTGAACAAACGGATAGAATTGAAAACATTGAAATGAGTATTCAAGGATCGACTGGACAAATTGATAAGTTTTCATTGAAAGATCATATGAAATCAAGTTTAGATCGATTTAAAATAGAACATGCAGATATTGGAAATGTAAGATTACATTTTATTGTATTATGACTTCAATATTATTTTTTCTATCAAATAAAACTAGATTGAAAGTATAACAATAGGATTTAATGACGATAAAAGACAACAAGTTGCTTGGTTGTTAGAATCTGTTGATATTGAAACTATAGAAACATTTTATCAGTAAGTAAATATTGATTCAATTGAAAAGAAATTTATTTTGATTATAGTTTTCAAGCACAATGTTGGCTATCAAATCGTTTGGGGTCTAATTTTACCTGGACAACAATCAGACCTGATAAAAATAACGATTGTAATAATTTTTTCTAATAAGATTTTATCAAAGCTTGACAGAACAGGGAAAAAAATGATATGTTGTTCTTAGTCATTCATTTAATCGGATTATTTGATACCCCGAGAAAAGGTTTCTTTTTCTCACTCACACACATAATCTTAATTACTCAAAAAAAAGCTGTTAGCACAATTCCCGTGGGATTAAAATGTGAAACATGATAAAGCTCCTTTTCTGAAATCCGTCTACCACGGTCTGTAATGGTCTGTGGAGCTTCTCTGTCGTGGCCTGTATTATGGTGTACGGAGTCTCTAGAGACCATCGCGGACCGTTAAAGAGAATTCAGAGACCACCACAAAGTGTGACAGAGAGACCTCAGAAGCCATCACAGGCCGTAACAGAGAAATGAATTAATTAGCCAATTAATTAGCCAATTAATTAGTCAGTTAATTAATTAATTAATTAATTAATTAATTAGCTGACTAATTAATTCATTTCTCTGTCCCGGTCTGTGGGGGGGGGGGGGGGGGGATAGTGGTGAAAAANGTCCGTGGGGGGGCGGGCGGAGATGAGTACAAATTTCTACCCTATATACTGCAACACTCCTTTCAGATCGTGTTTCACAAAATGTAGTATAGAATTTTTCTTTTATTTGATATCATAGATATTAATTACAGTGTGATTATACAAACGGGTAAATCAAACATTACTTCTAATGTAATATTATGTATTTATGGTGATAAGAAAACAACGAAACTTTTTCCTTTACGAACAATAAAAAATGGAACAAACGCTAAATTTGATAAAGATAATTATTTTGAATTTGATTTAAAGGATATTAATGTGGGAAAAGTTAGTTAATTTATTAGAAATTGTTAATAAATGAAATAAAAATATGCTTCTCTTTAGATCGAAAAGATTAATATTGGACATGATAGAAAAGGGAATGAACAAGAATGGCTATTGAAATCAATTAGAATTGAAAAGAATGATGAACATTATGTGTAACGTACAAGAAAATAAGGAAAACACAGATAAATTTCTTTTTTCTTTCAATTTTAGATTTCAAGCTGATCGAACATTAAGCGAAAAAGAAGGAAACTTTATTGATCTGGTACCATTGGAAAAAAGTAAAAAAACAAAAAATGCGTGTGAGAATTAAGAAATGACTGATGTCAAATTTTGTTTCGAAATAGAACAAGTTTTGTATAAAGTTACTACTGTGACAAGTTCAGAGGATGATTCAGCTACAGATTCAGGCGTATTTATGACAATTTATGGTGACAATGATCGAACAAAACAATTTCAATTGATTACAACAGACCAAGATTCAGAAACATTATTTCAAAAGGGGAATACAGATAGTTTTGAATTCGGATTAAACGACGTCGGAAAAGTATGTTCGAATAAAAGTATTTATGCTTTTTTTTTGTCATACTTTGTCTTTTTCTGTTAAATAGATTCAAAAAATTAATATTCGACAAGATGGAAAAGGTTTTCATCCAATTTGGCATTTAGATACTGTACAAATTCAAAAAGGATCAGAAATCTACAAGTATAATCAAGTTTCTCAATTGAATATCAAAATAATTTCATATTTCTCATAGATTTAAAGCCGATAAAGTACTGGATTTCTCCTTGCAAGAGATTGACCTCACGCCAACTCCAACTGGTAAACTCAAAAATATAAATATTCGTTTTTTTCTTATCGTTCTCGATCTTTTACAGAGAAACCTCCAGCTCGTCAATCTATCAAACGACAATCGAAAGAAAGCATTGTACCGAAGATAGTAGTACCAACAATAAAACGTATATCCATTAAACGTTCTCGAACACTAAAATTTTTGCAATTTTGATTTTAGAAACGGCATATAAAGTTTCGGTACGATTTGGAACACTTCAACAAACAGTGAACGACGATGATGATAATGGCATTTTATATCTGATTATAGTTGGAAAAAATGGGCAAACAAACAAAATGCCATTGCTAGTTAATAAAAAAGGTGAAGTCGAATTTAAAACAAACGACGTCGGAGAAGTTAGTTTTAATTTCATGAATAAAATTTTACTGGTCGTTTGCTTTTTTATTAAATAGATTTCAAAAATTTTCCTCGGGCAAGATGATACTACGCACCAAGCTGTTTGGCATATTGACAATTTAGTAATCAAACGAAAAGATGAAATAACAACGTAAGAAACAGATCGCTAAATTAACATGCAAGATCTTTGTTTTTACAGTTTCAAGGAAAAAAAATTCATTTTCTATGTTATTGCTTATTTTGAGACGATGTCTAGGTGCGTTGAATAAAAGGAAATCTTCGATAATAAATACTGCTTTTGCACGGCAAAGTATTGTTTCCTGAACTAGCCGAATCGAGAAAAATAACTAGTGAAACCGAAAGGAAATATTTGACGGAACTTCTTCGTTCGTTTACTATACAACGTCTGATTGCGTTCATACTTCTAGACTGGGAGGTTGTTTCCATTAGATACTATTTCCTTTTGTTTACGATTGCTTTCGTTTCAAAAGTAACTAAACGATATCGAATCATCTCGTTAAATTATGATTATCATTACAAGCGTTGATTGAGGTGAAAAAGAAGAAAGATCGTTCGCGGCGGCCCATTTTCTCCTACAATTGACAATGTGTCTCGATACCTGTTCACATCGCAAAAGCATCGTCAGTTTATTTTAATTTTCACTTTCCTATCATTGTAAAGTAAATTATGTCTTAAACTTGGATTTCAAGTCTCAGTCGTTACAAAGAAATACAACAATACATGCATTTGTTATCCTCTCGATTTGAGACCTTGATCATCAATTTCCTATTTCTATCAGAAAGACCTTGATAAAATCTTTCGTTTTCTATTCTTTCTTTCTCTTTCTTTCTTCTACATTGCCTTTGACAATTTAGATTCAATGTGGAACGTTCAATTGAAGAAAACACTGAAATTGAATTAAAACCGTCACCTATAAAGAAATCATCAGGTAAACATAATATCAATAATTATTGAAGGGGAATACACTTTACCAGTTAACTTCTTCAGACACGTCAATAAGTGACATTAAAATGAAAAATAAATACATAAATTGTTCGTTGTCAAGCAAATGGCAGATGTCTTTCGGGCGAAAAAAAAATGAAAAAAGAGAAAGAGAAAAAAAAAGAGTCAATAGTAACGTTTATTCGCAGAACAAAAGAAAGTATAAACACTTTTAAAAAAATAAAATAAAATGAAAAGATCTCAATCAGCTAGACCACCCAGTAAAAAACGATATGGTAAATAGAAAAACAAACTAAAAACACAACAAGACATGTTTCTATGTTAAACTAATCTAATGGTTTTCTTTTCTAGACATCGATTATGAAATCAAAACAGTTACAGGTGATAAAACATATGAAGGAGGAATAACTTTTAAAATTCGTGGTGAATTCGGACTAATAACAGTTCCATTGTCGCAAACAATCAGTGGCGAAAAACCATTTCAATCCAAAGCTACCGATGAATTTAAATGTCGGGCAAATGATGTGGGCAACATAAAACGACTTACCATTGAATATAATGGAAGAAAAACTGATAATGTTTGGCATCTAAAAACGCTTCAAATTATTAAAGCAAATGAATGCTACAAGTATGGCGGGAAAAAACACAAATGATAATTTACATTTTTCATCGGAATTATTTTTTGCTTCTAGTTTTCATGCAAATGTACGTCTTGATTATAGTGAACAAAAAATTGTTCTACACCCCACTGATCAAAGAAAAGAAGATTTCGTGCAAACTGAATTACGTCGTTTAAAAGAAAATCTTCATACTGAATCGTTAAAAATGCGTCGACCACCACAGTTGAGTTATTTTTTTTATCGGATAATTTAAATTATCAATTCTATTTATTTATTTATTTATAGTAAAGCTCACGCACCATTTGTTTACAATGATTTAAAACCATATTTTGATACTAGTAATGTAGAAAAAGCAATTCACGAAGTAATATTTCATTGTTATATTAAATACAAAACATGAGATTCTTTTTCTATTAGCCACTAGAAAATCAGGCGGGCTATTATACACGTGTAACAGCACTGCGTATTGTGGAGCCGTGGGAAGCATATGGTATGGACTATGGAGTAAATTACGAATTATTGAAACAACGAAGACTTCCCTGTCAGAGTGCAAAAAGATCGTAAGTATTTAGTAGTCATATTTTATTCGTCTAATGCTTTTCTACTACTCAAATTAATTCCTTTTTACTTCACTGCACATATTAGACTACCCACTCAAAATGGTATGATACTTCTTCCACCACCTACACTTCCATTCGGTGGCCAAATCACTCACATTAATCCTACTAAAGTAGATCGTTCACGTTCATCAGTTTCATCAGCTTCATCAAAACGTAGATCTACAGCACGACATAGTAATCAACAAAGTCAAACAAGGACAAGTACTACTTAGATTTATTTTCAAAAAAAGCCACCAGAATTCTTTTTTGTCTTAAATTTATTATCACTATTGGTGTATTTATGTTATTGCTTGTAATAAATAAACGTTTTCTTTTTCGCTTTACAATGGAGGAATTTTTCTTTTGATACTCCTGATAGAACTATTAAAACAGAAGAGTCGATCGATCGAACACAAGGTTCAACTCATTTGCCAGAATTTCCTTGTGTTACTATGGAAAAGCCTGCGGAATATCATCGACCATTGACCTTAAACGATGTTTCAAGTATAAGGTAAGTCACCAATTTCGAATGATATCTACAAATGAAAGTTTGTTTCTCCGTTTAAAAGATCGTACATAAGAAGTCATAGTGCTGTACGAGCTAACTTTCAAAAAGATAAAGATTACAAACGAACGCAAGATGATTTCTATCGAATGCAATTAGATAGTGCTGCTGGACATCATTCAAGAACTCGAGACAACATGGTACGTGTCTATCATTCGTATCTTGGAACAACACCTGGCTCACGGAAAGCTGTACGTGATCTGTGCGATCAACTACCACTAAACACTACTAAAACAACCGTCGAATCAACAGTTTAACACAAACATTTTCATTTTATTTAATACATTAGAAAACAAAACAAAACAAAACAGAAACAGAACTTGATACATTTTTTTTGCACGCACAAAAAAAAGTCTACATTGCATTGTTGCCATCATTTATATATTTGCAAAAGAAAATGACATTAACCACGAAAGGATAAAAGAAACACAGAAAAGAAAATTGTGTTGTAAAAAAGACAGGCTCTTCAATACTGGACGGACAACAACAACAACTAGTCATAGAATAGAATAGAATGAAGAAAATTCATGATGAACAACATAATACTGAGTACAATAATAAGATATTTTCATTTTTGTTTCATTTAAAAAAAAATTTGTCACCGTTTTCGGAGAAATAAGCCTAAGTACAGAAATATATATTTGACAAGTGTGCATCATAGATATCATCCGAATATAAGAAGAAAATCAGCAGCATTAAAGCACAATGGCACCACACCGGCAACCTATCTAACATGGATTATTACTAATAACTATTTGCGATGGCCATGCAACCGGATTTTGTCCATTTGATGTATTAGCGAGCCAGCTATAATCAGGTTTTGTATCGATGGCATCAAGATAAGCAATTCCCATATCCTTAAATAAATACACGTACACATAAAACTCGATGTTAAACAAATCACTTACGACAACGACATTTGTTGTTTCACGATGAAGTACTTCAAAAATACATTTTTGTACTTGTCCATCAGTATTCATTTGCAAACAGAGAAGACGTTCGGCCACTAAACGAAATATAAACAAATGATTCGAATTTTATTTTCATTCATAACATCTTGAAACTCGAACATCAAAAACTATTTTCTTCGCTAATTCATTTATTTTCATTATCAATATCTACGACTGATTAATCTGGCTCCGTAAGATTCTGAATGCGCTATTGACATTCAGTTACTCAAGTTCACGATTCATTTCGAACTTTCAAAGCCGTATCATCTCATTTTAAACAGTTGTACATGCCAAACCATTGTCTCAGTTGCATCAACTTACATATCTGCCCCGAAAGTCTTTTGAGTGAAAAAATAAACGAAGATGTAATCATACGAAAATGTTGCAAACTTACTCAACGCATCCAACGCTCTTAATTTCGATAGGAGTAAAAGTAATTTTGAAAAATGCATTCTATCATTTGTACGATTTTTCATAATATGTAATCTTTCAATTTCACAATAACGTATTTGTAATTGTTCAACTTTACTTCGCGTCGCTTGACCTTCAATTCGGTCTATGAAAAAAATGAAAATGATAAATTAGCTCGATGCTTTCATGTTCTTCTTACCGTGACTAAAGAAAACAATGCCGCAGAGAAGAACAAATTCTTCGACGGTTAATTCTAATCGATTAAAGATTCGACAAAATTGAAAAAATGTATGCCCATAACAACCGAAGCCTTGTGTTCTAAGAGTATGCTCATCAACCGATGTACCATTCGATAAATACAATTTATCATCTTCAGGTTCATAACGAAAAGCGAGCCGAAGTAGAGCAACGCCATGTACACCTAATTTAAGTAGATGTGCACGTTCTTGAATCGATAATTCATTATTTCCTGGCATTTGCATACAGAATTGTATACATTGCATAATGCCTTTTTGACTAAATTCATCTGCGCGTTGCCAACAAACATCTAACTTAGTCTAAAGTAAAAACGAACAACAATAACTAGTTTGTGAAAAAAAATTCTTCGGTATATTTACATCAGTATCTTCTGAAGATTTAACATTCATTGTTACTTTATGTAGATTAACACAAACGCTTATTAAACTTTCATCATCGACAGGTGATAATTTTGATTCTATTGGTGGCGAATATTCTTTTGACGGTACTGATTGAATTGTTAAACGTTTCTTTGGACGATTATTTGTGGACTTAATACCATTTTGATTTAGTAATTTTTTTGTATGATTCAATATACGTAATTCTTCTTTACTCATACCCACAGAGAAACATTTTTGAAAACGCTACAAAAATAAAATGTATATATTAAAAAACATGGCTTTTGTTTTGTAACTTTCTTACGCAGTATTGGCATCGATTTCTTGTCACTTTATTTATTTCGCAATTTTGATCTTTATTACATTGATAGGCCATATTTTTTTGTACACTACGTCGAAAAAAGCCCTATTGAAGAAAATAATATCCTATTGAATTTATATCAAAAGAGAAAATTCGATATTCGTACTTTGCAACCTAAAACATAGAATAGAAATTTAAAAAAAAGATACAATGAAAATAACTGTTAAAATTACCTTCACAACTCGAAACACCATAATGATAACCTGAACTTTTGTCACCGCACACAACACATGGTTTATAAACTCTTGCTGGTGGTGGTGATGATACAACTGGTTTCGTTATTGATTGAATATTTACTTGCTGAATATTATATACTGGTTGATTGGATACATCTAAAGCGAAAGCGTTGTTTTCGGAGAAAAAAATAATTAAAAATAATTTTACTAGTAGGATTGAAAACGACATGATCAACATGAACAGATTGTTGATTGCTATTGTATTGATTTGCAGTACCATTGAAATATTGTGTTACACCGTCAGTTTTAATTACTTGACCATTGATTATATTAACCTCCGAGCTGAAATATTCATCTACAGCTGTACCCATTAAAATATTGCCTAAAGGAAAATTTTACATCAATAGATATAATCATGTTTATAACTCGATATGATCATATCGTATCGTATCGAATGTAGTATAGCCAAAACAAAACAAAAAGTAGGCTCTCACATGAATCATTATTTTGTGATTTTATTTCTCTTATGGCTCGACTCATAAACATGTATAGTCCAAATATTAGTCTGGTGATTTATGATGGTTGCCTCACATTATTTTCCATTCATGTTAGTCAAGATACGAGCAATCCTTTTATTGGAGATTATAAGTCTGTGCACGATTAAGATCAATCATATGGTGATCATTACTCGAGACGAGATATCTGGCCTTTTCTTCGATTGTTCATGCAAATAAGCAGAACACGCTCTCGTTTATAGATTATTCTATGTTTATGTCTACTATGATCCTATGAATAAATACCTGTCACACGATTTTTTGTTGGCATTTCCATGAGATTATTATTATTTAAATTTAAAAGATTTTCATTTGTTGAACTAATATCCATGCAAGTCATTGTATGATAATCGTCTATATTTTCACTAAAAAATTGGTCATAATCGAAAGATTCGTGAATAAGTTCGCTATTTTCCATTGTATTCATCATAAGATATTTAACATACTGAATAACAAGAAACAATTTTAGATATACATATATAGATTTTAATAAACGAACTACGTACTTGAGTTGAAACGCAAGTTTGGTCAATGTGCACGAGTTGAGCTGTGTGGGCGCCTTTATACACAAGAGAATGAACGAGCTTTTTCTTTTTTCTTTTTCTTCGTCTTTCTCTTTTCTTTCCTCGACGATGACCAAAAGGACGTGTTGTTCTATGTCTGTGTTATTGTTGGTCAATGTTATTATCGTCCTCGACGTCCGTCGTTTCTTTCTCTTCTCGGCGGATGATTACTCAGACGGTTGATAAGACGTTGGCTCAATGCCATCGTTTGACCATCACATCAACAAAAGCAGGAAAAAAAAAAGATTCAATTTCCTGCAGTAATGCTACTACTAGAATTTTTTATTGTTTTTTTGGTTGAACTCTAAATGACCTCTACGAGTTTTTTTCTACCATGCAGTAAAAACAAAAAAAGAAACCGGAAGGAAAAATTTATTCATTTCGACAATTAACCGTCACCAGATGCAAACATTAAAGAAGCTGATTGCTTATGATGAATGACGCTTGATGACTCTACATGATTTTTGTCGATTATCGTTTGTTGTTCTAAATATTCACTAATGTTTTTATAGATGTTCGTTTTTTCACGATCAGTTATTCCCATGAAAATTTCGTTGCGTTCGAGATCATCAGTCGGTGCATGTTTCAATATGTTGAGAATCATTGATGATAGATTTTCATCACGTGACGAATATTCATGATACCAAGCACATAATGTATCTGAAAACAATAGCGATTTGTTTTTTTCACAGCTATAGTGATTTTACTTGTGCTGCTCAGTTTTTGTTTGTTGACAACTAATAGTAATTAGAATCTTTACAAGTGTTTTCGGATATGTCTTGCGAACGTATCTTGCTCCTCAGAAGTGCTCGAATTGAATGCATAGCATTTATTCTTGGAGCACAGTTACAACTAGTTAACGATCTTTTCAAATATATCGAAATCTGAGATAGGTCTTTTGAAGAGTTGGCAATATCTGTGATTCTATCTTTCGTTTTTTTTTTGCCGCCCTTTTCGTTTTTTTTTGTTTAGATTTTTACCTATTTCAGAAGCAATATGTTTTCGTGTTCCATCTTTATAGAGAATATGTCTTGGTACATATTCTTTCTTGTCATCAAATGTTGTTAATTCCAAATCATGTAACCATGTCGAAACATATTTTTTACATTCGTTTCGAAGCGTATCAATTAGATATTTTTCCGATAAATGTATGAGACCTGTGACTAATAAAATCACAGTTTCTGTTTGAAATCTATTCATCAAGATGAAGAAGACTGCTTACTATTCTGATCGTTTATTTTAACTGTAAATTGCGGATAGATAAATTTCAGAAGATCGATAACGTCGATTGATGTGGCAATGAGTTGTTCATCATCTTCATCGATGATGAATGTACTGTCGGGTTCAATGGCCAGAAAAGCTTTAATAATCGGTGATGCTTCCGATAAAATAGCTTTATTTGCATATAAGATCATTTCTGAAGAAATTCGAATTCTACTATTCCAGTATTTTCATTTTTTTTTGTTTTCTTCAAATCTTACCCTTTTCATTTTTAAATGAAATTTTTACGTCAGAAAATTCATTGGGAGTATTAAAATAATATTGTTCATTATTTCCAATGGATAAGATATTTTTAACAGACATAACAAAGGAAATGGTGAGTTACGTAGAAAATGAAAATTATACAAATGAACGATATTAGTTTTTTGCAATAAGAAACTTGCGCGCAAAAAAACAAATACTGCTGTAGTTTATTTGTGAAATAGAGAAAGAAGAAAAATTCATTGTAGAAAATAGAAAGATCACATATATAGAGCGCATTCTCTATGATTGAAATGAATATAAAGAAATTCACTTTGTGTTTTATTAAATTGTTTTTTTGCTCGTTGATCATAAAACGAAATTGTGAAATCAAAAAAAAACAGAGAAAAAAGAAAGAAAAGATTAATAAACTATTTAATCAGCATCTTCAATTGTCTTCCGGAATGTAAATATATGTATATATATATGATCATAAAATCGTATTGCAATATGAACGGACATAGAGGTAATAAAAGCTTCATTTTTTTTTTTATAAATTTTCGACATTTTGATAAAAAGTTGCCTTTGAAAAAGAAAAAGAGTTGCCATCAATATGAATGAAACCATCAATGATATACTTACAGGAACAGGAGCAAACTGTGCAGCTCCTTCTTCGCCATCACTATCACTGCTATCAGCTGCGCGATCGCGTTGTGTTGGACGGGATTCTTGAGACAAAACAAAAACAAAGTTCAACGTGAATAACTAGAGAATTCTTGTTTTACCGTTCATATTAGGATTATTTAATTTAACATGACATGCGTCACAGATGCGAACTGGCTTTGAATCTAAATGTGGTAGTAAAAAACGTCCTTTTGAACATCCATCACAGATAATAATGCCACAGTTTCGACAATGCTATTTGAAAGAAGAAATTCGAATGTTCAAGTTTTTTTTCAAGTGATTAATCATATTTTCATCTCAGTTTGTTCAATTCTAACTTTTATCAAAAACAAAAAAAAGCTAAAGCTCAACGACGAAAGTTGACTGAAATATTCGTAAAAGACATCTATTGGTGATGTTTCAGTGCCTTGTCTAATCTATAACACTTGTAAGCATAAAAATTCCAAAAAACAATAATAAAACAATGCCCATATCTTTCAAACAACATTCCAATTGATGACTAATGACACTTCTATTCGCCTCTCACTCTCTCTCTCTCTCTCTCTCGTCCGAATGTCTACAGTCGAATAAAGTGCATCTACTATTATAGTTTTCAATTATGAGAATTATAGCATGGAGGCATTTTCTTAAAATCCAGATCGATCTATGAAGAAGTGCACTTTACACTACCAATAGAAAGAAAATAAAATCGTATCCTTCTTTTTCTTTCTATTAAGGATTTCTGTGAATTTAATTTTATGACTTACATGTCTGCGATTATAAGCAGAAAATTTCGTTGAACCACAATGCATGCATACATCAGCTTTATCATCCGGCACCCAATGTGCAGCAACAGCACTATGCTGCGAATTAGTTCCACCTTAACAACCGAATAGAAATCAATCATTTAGAAACAGTTAACTTTCAATACCACATGCATAACGAATACATTGTTCAAGATGTGCAAGCCATTCTTGTCGTTCACGATCTGAATTGGCTCTTACAACGAACGATTTTTTTGGACTACTAATCAACCATGCATATGGGTTTTCTTTCAAACAATAGATAAATATCTTTTAAATATATATATATATATTTATTTAATTACCAGGAGTATCCACGGATGGATTGATTTTTATTTCATCGAGTGGAATTATTTTTTGCTGTGAATACTAAATAGAGAGATAGAGAGAGAAAAAAATGAAAATTCTATTTAATATAGATTTTACCTTACGTCCGCTGATAACAACTTGTCCATAGACAAGAATATCATTGAATAGAAAGAATGCTCGTTGTTTAGGTTTTTTCCGGCATACTTTCATTAAAATACCTTCGCCAACTAATGCTCGACCTTCTTTTTGTAAATTCTAAAGATAGACTCTCATAATCAAACACGAAAAATTTCAAAAACCATTTATTCGAACTTGACTATTAACAAATTTGTCTTGTACACTTTTAATTCTTTTCACATTTTCTGCTGATCGACCTTAAATATTAAAAAACAATATATATATATATATACATATATTTGATTTAATTGTAGTCAAATTATTATACTTACTTAGTTGAGCTAATCCATCTTCGTTGGCTGCAGGTGGCCGACGTACACCATTCGACTTAGTAGGATGCATATCTAAAAATTAGAAAATGTCTTCAATATTTTCAAATTAGATTATAATCTTCACATATTTATTTTTTACAATCTTTTGATGGACTATAGACGAGAGAATGCAAGAAAAAAAATACTTGAAACATACAAACATGTACGCCTACCCTACACGCAGTTATGCTCTTGTTCTGCTGCCTTTTCCCCAAAAAAAGGTGTACATCATTTGGATTAGGCAGTTTTACTGCCAATCAGAACAAAGCATCAAACCTTACTATAATAATGAAATATAGTTGCGGCGCTTCAGTACGACAGCTAAATATGAGTCATTTGAACGCAGATAATTCTCTGCAATGGATCGTCTGTTTGTTTATATTCACTCTCTGACAAATGACAAATGATAGTACGTTAGAAGAGCTCAGAAACATAAGCTAACAACAGCAGAAACCTATTTAGTACCCTTCAAGATGTTGTCGATTGCATTCTAGGGAACACTTTCATTATTCTCTTAACGGATGAGTTATATTCTCTTATTGCCACATTATCTGGATTTTTTTCTCTTCGTTGACTTACTTTCCTAACTTGAACATCATTTATTATAGATATGACTTCAACAGATTCTCCAGTTGCTTCAAATGTTGAAAGTAAACGTAAAGTTGCTTTAATTACAGGCATTACAGGACAGGTGATTATAATAAAGAAAATTTTGTTTTTTTTTGCTTATAATTATTTGATCGTAAATTCTTAGGATGGAAGTTATCTTACAGAATTTCTTCTTGCCAAAGGCTATATAGTTCATGGTGTTATTCGACGTTCAAGCAGTTTTAATACAGGTCGAATTAGTCATCTTTATGCAGATCCATTAGTACATAGAGAAGGAGGCAAATAATTATTGACATGTTTTCTTTTTAATATTAACTTTTGTTATTTTTATCTTGAATATAGCTATGAAATTACATTATGGAGATTTAAATGATAGTTCATCATTAGTAAAAATAATTTCTATTGTTAAACCAACAGAAGTTTACAATTTAGGTGCAATGAGTCATGTTAAAGTGAATATTGAGTTTTAAACTAATGTCAAATGATTATATAATTATTTCTATTTAGATATCTTTTGATTTAAGTGAATATACAGCTGATGTTGATGCTGTTGGTACATTACGTCTCCTAGATGCTATTCGAATATGTGGTCTTGAAAAAGACGTACGATTTTATCAAGCATCAACATCGGAACTTTATGGTAAAGTTCAAGAAATTCCACAAAGCGAAACAACACCATTCTATCCAAGATCACCTTATGGTTTGTTTTATTTTGTTTTACTTGAATGAGTAAAACAAAAGAAAGTTCCATCGATGATTTATTTCTACATAATAGCTGCTGCTAAATTGTATGCATATTGGATAACAATTAATTATCGTGAAGCATACAATATGTTTGCTGTTAATGGAATTCTTTTCAATCATGAATCTCCACGACGAGGTATGAAATGATCAATAAGCAAAATAAAAATGAATTCAAACTGTCTAGGTGATAATTTTGTAACGAGAAAAATTACTCGATCAGTCGCAAAAATTCATCTTAAACAACAAGAATCACTTGAACTTGGTTCATTAGATTCCAAGCGCGATTGGGGACACGCACGCGATTATATTGAAGCTATGTGGTTGATGTTACAACATGATACGCCTGAAGATTTTGTTATTGCAACTGGTAAACATTTTATAAAACATATGATAAGTCAACACTGAGTTTCTTTTTCCAGGTGAAACACATAGTGTTCGGGAATTTGTTGAAGCAGCATTTCAAGAAATAGGAATAAAAATTATGTAAGAAATAAATAAAATTTTGAAAGCTGAAAATTTTCATCATTTTTTCTCATAGATGGAAAGGTGAAGGTATTAATGAAGTAGGAGAAGAAGAACAAACTGGTATTGTTCGTATTACGGTTAATCCAAAATATTTTCGGCCAACTGAAGTTGTAAGTTAAAATGAAAATTTATTTTTCTCGAAGAATAAAAACTAAATGTGCAATTAATTTTCTTCGAGGATCTTCTAATTGGTAATCCAAAGAAGGCTGAAGAAAAACTTAAATGGAAACGTAAAATAACATTTAAAGTATAACGAAACGATTGATTATTATTACTATTGATGAGTCTATTTATTTTTGAATGATTTTCTCATAGGAATTAGTTAAAGAAATGGTGACTGCCGATATGGAACTCATGCGAAAAGATCCAACAGCATAAATTGAAAGTTTTATCAATAACTCGGTTCTATGCATTATGATATTTAACGAATGAGAATTTTCTTTTTAGGCATGGTTAATCTGTTTTACGTCACTTATTTTATTTCATTCTGTTCGTATTGTTAATTATTCAATAAAAAAGAAATTAAAGGAAAAATAAAAATATGCACAGTGTAACAATATTTTCTATTCTGATGTAATAATGATAAATATGTACACAAACAAATGTTCGTTTATCTAAATTCGGGAATGATATTAGGCTGTTTTTTTCCGTCGCTTGAGCCCTGACGTCTTGTTTTATATGATGACGAAATTTCTTCGTCGTCTTCAATAGCAGTTGATTTTCGTTTTTGTAGATTGAGATTTTTTCCTTTAGCATACAATCCATTTGCTAATGTAAGAAGAAAATTTGCTTGAAATAATTGATCACGCCAGCGTTTTGGAATTTCATCGATACCATAAATAGCACCAGCAAGCTGCCCGTAAATAGCAGCTGTCGTATCAGTATCATCACCTAAATTCACGGCTAAGAGAACACCTTTCTCAAAAGAATTGTTATCATAGCATAATGCCCATAAAGCAGCTTCAAGTGAATTTAATATGAAACCTTTTCCACGAATACCATCGTCGTATCCATTTGGTCTGTTTTTATAAGAACCTTTAATGATTTCCATGAGATTTTTGTCAATATTTCCTGTTAAATATTTTTGAAAGAGTTTTGTAGATAATAGATCACGTTTAGATACACCATTGATAGCATGCCAAATTAGTTCACCATAAAATTGACAAGCATCAATTGCTTTCTGATCCCCATGTGTAGTTTTCACACTATTCGCAGCGTGTTGAACAGCTTCCGTCATTGATCGAAAATAAAACAATGGTATTGGCGCTAAACGCATCAGTGCTCCATTACCTGCGGCATCCGACTTACCACAGTCTGTATTAAAATTAAGTTCGGAACGTTTTTCTCCTATTTCTTTGTCTAAACAATCTTCTTTTACAGTAAAACCTTGCTGTTCTTTTAATATTTGAGCACTTTGATGTTGACGAGTTTCAAATTCAATAATTGCTTGACGTGTTGAAGCGCCAATATCAAAACAGATACCTGTTGAAGACATATAACCTTTTCTAAACCATCGCTTATATCGTACTAATTGATCGTAAGCATCAAAGCCACCTTTGCTAATAAGACTAGCAGCTAGACAAAGTGCCATTGATGTATCATCAGTCCATTGGCCAGCATTCAAACTCCATGTACCACCACTTGTCATATCTGACACAGGATTCGCTACCATATACGAATGTGGACGAAATTCAACTGATGCTCCGAGAGCGTCACCAACAGCAAGACCAATGAGTGAGCCTTGTATTTTTGAAAGATATTGATTTTTCTTTCCCAGTCCTGATAATTCATCATCACAAAGACGACTTAGTTGTTCATATGGTTGAGACTCGTCGAGTAATTGAGGTAATGTGAGACGATTGCGGTTGTGTTGTTTTTTAAAATTTGATATTTTTTTCGAAAAACCTGTCGCCATATCGACTAGTTGTGTTGAAATAAAAAAAGACTTGAGTATTTGCCAACGAGAGTAACTATTTTTAACCGCTCGATAAGCGATTTATGAAAATGTTTTCGTTGATTGTGAGACTCGTATATATATATGTATAGATTTGTTGTTTTTTCGTATAAAAACAACGAAAAAGAACGAAAAGCATAAGAGGTCGCGCATAGAAAGGTGAATGTGAGTCATATTCTATGCCATTATTGTGTATTATTTGCAAAATACGAAAATATTTTATAACAAGCATAGTTGTTGTTATGACTAACGTTGAATAATCATTAATTTGTCATGTTTAGCGTTTTTAATTCACTCCTTCGCCCTTTTACATTTTCTAATAGTTCTTCAAATTTTTCATTCATCAATAGAATCATCTTGAATATCAATGTATTGATCGGCTACATGGTACTAAGTCTGAAAGATTCGAGCAATAGTTTGACTATGTGCTGAATTAATTTTCGATTGAGAGACATAATTGTTGATGTCTCATTTTCAAATGAGTAATTATTATTAAGTGGTGAGATTCATCAATATCGCACTTCTATACTTTTGATGATAACATTTGAGGGCGTTATTGACGTCAAGCTCGCATTTTCTTATCGTTGCGTTGACTGTTACTACTCTGTTCATCAATTACTCAACAGTTGTCAAACAGTCATTTTGATTTGTTTTCAATAGTTTACTCAAATACTTGCTACCACTCATAAAAGAGAAGAATTCTATAGAGTAAAATAAAGAATGGATTATTTCAATGATTACGATAATGTTTTTATTATCAATTCTATAGTCTTCAGGCATATTAGAAAAAAATTGGTTTTTGAAATACGTAGTTACAAAAATAGAGTAACCACTGACAGTAAGAGAACAAAGTCTAGAAATGAAAAATTATATACGTCGATTTTTAACATAATTACCATACATTAACTATGGTACGAATGATTTTATATACTATATATGAGTAAAAGAAGGCACGTAGGCCTCAAAGTTCAAATCAATAGAATTTTCATGTACTGTTCTATAGATGTATACATGGATCGAATGTTTCGATTATCTAATTGACCTTTTTATTCACTAATATTACTGTTGATTCGATCTGCTACTGACGTTGTTATATTGTTCGTCAACGCGTTAATTTACAAGTTTTAACAAAGCAACATGGTTTCCAATTAGTCTACTTCATTGACAGCGTTTCGATGACATTTTTTTAATAATATGTTTTGTTTTCAAAAACAAACTGAAGCCATCTGTATGTTGTATGATCAAGTTTGATCATCGTTGATTTCTTTACTGTTTCATGTTGTCCTACGAAACTCTAAGATCATGTTAAGATGATAGTAAAGCATCTCAATCATTCAGCACGAAAAATGTCGCCAGTGGTCATTCACATCTTATCGTGTATGTGATTCTATTGATCACGTCTCATACAAAAGTTACTCTTTCTTAAAAATATGCCTGTACTCAACCCTACTAAAAATAACTTCACCACGTAGTTGTCATACTTTTTTCTTTTTTTTTCGTACATCTATTAGCCAATTGGATCAATCATCTACATGGTCGTGTATACGTTCTTTTTCTCTCTTATTCCTGCGTCCAACTGAACGCGCAAACGGTCGCTCGTCCATTTTTGTCCGTCCGTTTACCATGATAGGCCATATGTTTTTTTAATGCTGGTCCGATGTCGATAGTTTGTCTGGCATATTTCATCGTTCGTTTTTTTTTGTTTCTTCTTCTTAGAGTAACAACAACATTGACAAATATGTTGTGCAAAATTAAATCAATCTGCATTCTAAATTAAAGATAAAAACGTTCAATCAAATAATGGTTTGCTCACTGATTGAATCATTGTTTTCGAAGAAAAAAAAGTTTTTTTTTATTGTTGTCTTTTTCTATTCAATATAGATTTCAATGGCCCATGGCACAACTAAAAATAAACAACAACATTATTATACTAATAATTCTGGAACACCATCATATTCATCATCAAGCACATCATCATCGAATTCGTCTGCAGCAGCTGCATCGTCATCAACAACTAATAACGAAAATGAACCTGGAGGTGAATTCGAAATCGTTGATTAATGTTTTATATATTTTTTTTCTTCGTAGATTTTCTAATTGGCTATGGCGCATTTGGTGTTATATGGGCAGTTACTGATCCACGAACGAGTCGGCGTGTCGCATTAAAAAAAATGCCGCATGTTTTTCAATCAGTCGTAGCTGCTAGACGAGCTTTTAGAGAAATTAAAATGCTTTGTACATTTCGACATGATAATGTAAGTGCAAAATTATTTTTTCAAAAAAAATAAAATTATAATTGTGAAATTTTTCTTAAGATTCTTCAAGCTGTTGATATTTTGCAACCACCTAGTCAAATAGAATTATTTAATGAAGTGTAAGTTATACGGGCGGAAAAAATAGAATTGGTTTAAAGAGATCTTAGTTTTATTGTTTATATTTCTAGGTATATTTTAACAGAATTAATGCAGATAGATTTACACAAGATAATTGTTTCACAACAAGCATTATCCATAGATCATTGTAAAGTTTTTCTTTATCAAATATTTCGAGGTAAAAAAAACAATTTTGTTTTATCATCTTTGCAAATTGATTATTCTTTTTTTTTCTTTCTAGGACTGAAATTTCTCCATTCATCAGGCGTTATTCATCGAGATCTAAAGGTAATTGTTTTCAAGTTAAATCGTCTCATTTTATTTCTATTCTGTTCTATTAGCCTGGAAATCTCTTAGTCAATAGCGATTGCTTGTTAAAAGTAAGTTAAATGATCAATTTTAAAGAGGAAATGAATGACTCTATTTTCTAGATTTGCGATTTTGGTTTGGCTCGAACGGAAGAATCAGATAAAACTAAACGGATGACACAAGAAGTAGTAACACAATATTATCGGGCACCCGAATTATTACTTGGCACTCAACACTATTCATATGCTATTGATGTCTGGAGTGTTGGTTGTATTTTTGCAGAATTACTTGGTAGAAGGATTTTATTTCAAGCATCATCACCACTTAAACAGGTATATAGAGCAAGTGTCACTCAAGAGAGCTGAGATTTTATGCTTTTGATCAACAGTCTAGGATGAACCAACGAACGTTTTAGAGCTCAATGGTATCTATTCGGTGTATAGAGAACTTTGATGACTATTTTTTCTGATTACTTGAACACTGCCTCTAGCCACAGAAAATGATCATTCATACGAATTTTCCTTGAAATGAATAGCTCATGAATTAGAATTTTGCTTTTTTTCTTCTCTTAGCTTGATTTAATACTCAATCTACTTGGTACTCCCCCATTAGATGAGATAGCATCCGCATGTGACGGTGCTAAATCTTATATATTATCAAAAACTTGGCGCGCACCAAAAGTTAACACACTCTATTCGTTGTCAAAAAATGTCACTCATGATGCTGCTCAACTTCTATTACGTATGTTAACATGGGATCCAAAAAAACGGATTACTATAAATCAAGCGCTTGGTAATTTCACAATTAATGATTTTTGATTAAATTGAATATTTTGCCTTTTTAGAAAATAATTATATTCACGAAGGACGTATTCGATATCATTCATGTATGTGCCGTTGTTGTTTTTCAACACCTACTGGAAGACAATATACAGTGAATCTTGAACCTGTACGAGGATTTCGATATGATGATTCTGATGAAAATTTTTCTAGTTTACGTCAAGCTAAAGGTATTCGTTGATTGATTTTATATTTCAATCAAATTTATTTCCTTTTTTTCTTCGAAGATTATATGCATAAATTACTAACTGAATTTAGCCAAGCAAATACTGTCCCACTTCGACTTAATCATGATTCGCCATTATATAAAACATTTGCCACGTAAATATTACACTTGTTTAGTTTTTTTAATTGAGGAAAATGGAAAAGATTTTTCGATAAACAATAGTGAAATTGTTCTCCTACAATTTTATTTTCTTTAATATTTTAGATCACAAGTTGCTCAGGCACATGAACTACCGCCATCACCTGTCGCCTGGGATAAATTTTGATGATCGTTAGATTCAATTTTTTTCCTTGAATAATCTCATTTTTCTTTTCTGTTTTTGTCTATCTCATATACAATGAGATATGTTTCTTTTCTCTGTCTATCTGTTTGTCTGTCTCAAGTATATCTTTCTTATTTCAACTTCTATTTGTTTTGTGTATAACTATAAAATTATTCGTATATTGACTATCTCAGAGGAGGCTAAATTCCCCTTCCGTTTTCGTTCACGATTTCTTTTTGTTTCTATCTTAACTCAGGTGCTGAAAGCAAAATAGCAACCGGTTCTGTATGTTGATTGCTCAAAAACTCATTTTCATTTCATTTTTCGTATTCTATATACGCATCGTCTTTTTTTTTTTGACATATTGTGAATTTTTATTTGTATGTCAGATGAGCATGGTAATATCAAATATTAGCTTAGCATTACTATTTCTTATTGTTGTTCAAAACTTTGTGTCTAACATTATTTATTCATATTTCTTTTCTTTTTTTCTTTTTGTACTTCGTGTACATATTTAAAAGAAACAAAACGGAAGCAGAGATTTTGTTATTTGTTACTAGATCATCTTGTGTTTTTCTGTCTTTGAAGACAACATTTGCATGTAAAAGATAAGCAAATAAAAAAATACTAAAAAATATGTCTAATCTTCGTCATTCTCCAATATTAAAGATTCATCAAGTGAACGTAGAGAAAGTCCGGATCTAGTTTGGCTTGGTTTCGTTTGAATAAATTGCCCGTAGAAATTTCTAAATGATGGCCCTGTCTGAATAGACAACGCATATTATATTATTATTGATATGGCGAAAATGTATTTTAATCTTTTACATACTAGAAGACTTTGAACATCAGCTGTAAGACGTTCGATATGATCATTTTCTGAATTTTTTATTGGACCTTGCCGATGATTAGTTCTACTGGTAGTTTCATTCGTTCGACTAGTAAGCATAGTCGAAGTAGCTCTTTTAGGTATGATTGCAAATTGAATTGGCACATCTTGTTTACCACGTGGATCAAAACGATCTTCACGTAAACGATGACTTAAGAAAATTCGTCTAACAAATATATATGCATATTACATTGATTCAATAATAGATGATGAATATTTACATCTCTTTTTTAAGATCACGAACAAAACGTTGATATTTTATTTCTTCTTTAGTTAATTTTGATGGCCTATTTTGTTTTACAGTTGATGATCGATGTCTTTTTCGTGATCTATCCGACCTGTTTGATGATGGACTTCTATTAAGTTTACCTTCTTGTGATAATGATCGATGTTTTTGAGTCTTTCGTAATTTTTTCCTCTGGCCTTCTTCAGTATCTCTTAACATTTTCAATGGAAATACGTTGGTAACCGTACGCTAAAGTTCGTTAAATAATAAAAACAAAATGGAGTAAGACAGTAATACAATTTGAAATTTGAAGAAACAAAATGCCTTTATAGATTTTTTAATATGTTAGCATACTTAAACGCATGGTTACTTTATGACACTTCAGACGTTTGAAATCAGAACGAACGAAAAATGCTGTTAATGTTTTTTCGATTCTACCTTGGACAGATGTGTTATTTTCATTAGTAAGAAAAATTAATTCCAATGTTTTCTCGCAAATTTATCATGTAATATTAATGCATGGAAACTCATCTTTTTTTTTAATTGACAAAGCTAAATATTTCTGCAAATTTTAGAAGCGGAATTTATGTGATAAAATTTTCATATTGTATTTATTACTTGTCAATATATAAAGATTTCACATTCTTACTTTCGAAAGATTTGATGAATTTTATGATTACATGTTGGCTTATTTTAAACTCTTCAAAAAAATATTTTTAACAAGTTAAGATCTATGCTATTTATGGTCAGACTCTTGTAGTCTTTTTCAGAACATTCTAAAATTCATGTATCTGTGATATATTGTATGAATTTTGGGTAGGAATCGTGGTGTAAGTAAAAAATGTAATTGGATCAATTTATGACAAAATGCAACCGACTGTTATTGATACCCTCATGGAAAAAGATATAAAAGCGTGTGTTGACGGCCACACCCACATTTGTCTTCTACATAGTATTGGACAGCCATGTTGCTTTGGGTTATAAAGTAGTGCTTTTTATGCAAGGATTTGAATATTCAGTCGAGGGCCAAGCGAGTGTTGTGACGGGCGCTGCGTGTTTTAAATAGCTGCGTATGGAAAAGAATTTATGAAAAGCAAGAAATAAAGAAAAGCTTGTTAGCGCAGCCCCTTTGGGGCTAAAATGTGGAACTCACATATACCCCTTAGATTTCGTATGCCAATACAAAATAGCTCAATTCAAAAATCTATTTTATTCTTTAAAATTTATAGTAATGTCATAACCTATTTACTTATGTCTGTAATGGTATCCCCCCTGTGTTGCTAGTGTCTGTAATGGTATCCCTCCCTGTGTTGCTAGTGTCTGTAATGGTAGCCTCCCGTTGATTCTTAGTATCTGTAAAGAAGGAAATGGCAACTCAATTAGTCTAATTGCTAATTAGCACAATTTTTAACTAATTAATGTCTGTAATGGGGAGGGGGGGTTGGGAGCCGCAAAAATCTCGCCTTTAAACTTACACTCACCATTTTCTTCGAAAATATATGTGAGTTCCACAAAATAATATAGTGAAAATGAACCTTTTCATAAACAGAAAAATGTTTTACAGAATTTGCCCGATTCTTAAAAGAAAACAAATGAAGCATGATGGCTAAATTTCATATGGTTGAAGAAAACATTGATGTGAGCTATTTGGTTGAAAATGAACATTTGTTTCTACCACTTTGCACAGGTACGCTTGTTTTATCTAGAAGAAAAGCATGGTTATATGAAGATGAATCGTTTCGTCTATCGAAAAAATCGCTCAGATAATTTTCTCGATATGAAACAAACAAAAACAAAACAAATGTCATACTTAATTTTCAGAAAGTTGATGAAACCAGCGATGTACATCAATTAATTGTCAATAAGCACGTTGTCGTAGAAATTGCGCAAGTTCTGCTTGCTTCTCTAGATAAAGAAAGTGATTAAATGAAGAAGAAACGTTCCATGTAGAGAAAACATGCCAGATAACTTTTCAATATGTTAAAGTGAAATCGAATAAAACGTCATACTTAACTATCGTCAGGTTGAAGCAAACATTGGCATGACGCATTTCGAAGAGAAACACTAGCTGTTCGTTCTAGTTTCAGAAGACTTGCTTGTGTATGTTGAAGAATAAGATGATCATATGAAGATAGGGATGTGCAGTGTCGGTTTACTGAGAACACCGAAAATATTCAGTCGGTATTCACTGAAGCACTGAGGCTCAGTGAAGCACTGAAATTCGGTGCACCGACCGCACCGACATCAGTGTTCAGTGGAGCACTGGCACACCGGCAACTTCTGGTTGACTCAAGTTGTAATACAGCTACTGTGACATTTTTCGAAAGCAAAATGCGCCTGTGAAAGAAGCTTACATTAACTGACGGTATGCGCGTACGCGACTAAAGTAAAACGTAATGCAATCTACTAAAGCTTCTTGTATAATTTAAAAATACAGATTGTTCAATATTATTATATCCTTGACAAAGATAGAGATGCCTATTTCACTATAATGTATTGCGAACTACCGTTAAGGCCATCCCCCCTCCCTCAAAAAAAGTCGATTTTCGTCAAAAAAATGAAAATTGAGATAACACCATTGGGTGATAGCTCATG